TTTCCCCAGGCTTTTCAGAGTAGGCAGAAGGTCTTTAACATCAGCTTTCTCATCAGAGATAGCATTGACAATGTTCCATGTGTCTTCTATTCCTATACATATTGTTAACAAAATGTAAAGCTAAGTTAGTCCATCAAGATAAGCACATAACAATCAGTTTACTGTAGAATATCCAGTAGTCTTGAAATTTTTGCCTTTCTGAAATACTTTCCAAGCTGAAAGGTTCATAAACTTTGTAAACTTAAGTGCTTATAGTAGAACACAGGAAATATTAAAAATGTTTTAAGTATTCAGCTCATGACGCTGAACAAAATGGTAAAATAATCCCAAAGAAAATAGTGCCCTCATTAAACAAACAAAACAGTAGTCCCTCCTCCTTATCCGAATGTTTAGAATCACATTACTGTTAATGAAATGCTACTAAATTGATCCTTTATTAGATTAATTTTTTTAAGTATTACTCACACATAGTTTTTAATCTTCACTGTATCCTTTAATCTTCTCTGCCAATTTATATCTTCTCTTTTTTTTTTTTTCTTTCATCATACTTCTGAAAACTTTCTGTGTTTTTATTAATCTTTTTCAAGAACCAACTTTTGACTCTATGGGTAATTTATTTAGAAATGTATACTTTCATCTTTATCTGATTACTGCTTTTTGAGGAAATTGTTTTGCTGTTTTATTGTTTATATTGCTGTTTGCCGTATGCATTGGATAAATCATGTTCAATATTATTTTCTAATAAAAGTATTTTGCTATAAAATTTCCTTTTATATTGTTTTGGTCATATTTTACATATTTAAATACACTTATTGTCATCCATTTTGAAATAATTTCTAATTTCAGATTTTATTTGTTTTTAACCAAAAATTTAGAAGACTGTTTTTAAACTTCAAAGTAAAAAAATTTAATCTAATTTCATAAATAATTTTATATTATTATTATCTCATGTGCATTCCTGTAAATCTAATTTGCATGAAGCATTTTGTACTGCAAAGTTATTCTATTTCTTCATTTTTTCACTGAATCTTACAGTGAATGAACTTTATCTAAGATAATGCATATCAAGTTTGTTGTTTGAGATTTAATGTATGAAGAGATTACATTTTATTTAACTTTTCCCTTGGTGAGGTATACTTATATTACTTTCATTCCTTTCCTCCCACAAACAGTGTTTCAATGAAAATACTTGTACATGTCTTTACAGGAAATCTCTGGACATTCACATACCAACAGCACTACGATGAATAGCCACCAGCAGTACAGTAGTCCGGAGTTTCTTCATATTCTTATTGACAACTTAATCTTCTTCTATAAACTGCCTTCTTACATCCTTGCCAATTTTTCAAACGAATTACTTTCTTTCTATTGTAGATTTGCAGAATTTATTTATGTATCCCAAATATTAAACTTTTTCACTTCTAAAAAGTTACAATTATCTTCTTCCAACCTGTTATGTATCTAGTAATTTATTTATTTATTTTTTAATGTTTTATTGTGAATTATTTGGTAGTTTACATGAGAGAACTTTAGTTTTACATTCATTCCATCGTATATCATCTCATTGCCATGGTTCCAATCCCCTCCATGCATTATGTTTTGTATGTTTAAATAAGAAAATGAAAAATAGGGCTAGTAGACCTCCTGGAATGGTGCTGCGGGCTAATGCATTGGACTGCAAGGTCCAGTGGTTTAACTCACCAGTCACTCCTGAGAAACCTTATGCAGGGTCACTATGAGTCAGAACTGACTCTCGACTGCACTTAACAGCAACCAGAGCTTTAAAAAGACACACACATACAAATCCCAGGTATGATACAGGAAGTTTCTGTTAATACTCATTAATAATTTCATACTTACGCTGGCACTCAATAAATTCATCAGTGTTGGTCAATTCTCTGATAACATTCTGAAAATTCACGACATCGTCTTAAAAACAGAAAGGAAGAAACAATTTAGATATTCTTGTTAAAAAAAAAAAAAAAAAAGACTAGTTGGTGTTATAAAACCAGAGTTTAAAAATATAAAAATAAAGTCAAAGACTGGCAATTGTTGATGACCTATCTGTCATGCAGATTGGCTCCAAAATAAAAGTTGTGAGAGTTATTACTTTGAAAATCAATATATAAATACAAATTTATCCATTTAAAAATAGAATTAATTTTTTAAAATACCAATGTATGTGTGTGTGCCCGTGTGTATGTGTGTAACTTCACATGCATTCAGAGAGTATTTTTTCTAAAATAGTCAAGCTTTGTTGGCCTAATAGGAAATAAATACTCACCATTAGGATTAGTATTTTCCAAAATTTTCTGTATATTATCATCTGAGAAATAGATTCCTACAGCATTTAACCTTTGCTGGAGTTCAGAAAGAGCTGTTTCTTCATTTTTGTTAATGTCTGCGTTGTAAAATTGATTTTTATCTTCTGAAAAGACATAGCAACTTTTAGTTGTAGACAAGACAGTCCTGGTCCCCTTTTACATATAAAGAAAGTGCTAATAAATTCCCAACATATGTAATTATACTTAAAAGACAGCACTAATTTATTGGTATTTCCAAACCACCATTAGTCTGTCAGCTTGTCGTACTGGGGTGGCTTGTGTATTGCTGTGATGCTAGAAGCTATGCCACAGGAATTTCTATACTTGCAGAGTCACCCACAGTGAACAGGTTTTACCTGAGTTTCTAGGAAGAAGGAGAGGCTGACCACTTCTGTCACTGCAAACTGTATGAATAGCACAAGAGCAGTGTCAAATATAGTGTCAGAAGATGAGTCCTTCAGATTGGAAGGTACTCAAAATACAAATGGAGAAAGCTGCCTCCTCAAAGTAAAGTTGACCTCAGTGATGTGAATAGAGCAAAGCTTTTGAGACTTTCATTTCCTACTATGGCACACTCAAAATAGGAAGAAATAGCTACAAACATCAGTTAATAATAGGAACATGGAATGTGCAAAGTGTAAATCATGGAAAATTGAGAGTTGTCTAAAATGAATGGGACACATAAAGATCCATATCCTAATGAACTGAAATGGTCTGGTCTTGGCCATTTGGTATCAGACAATCATACAGTTTACTATACCAGGAATGACAAACTGAAGAGAAATGACATTGCATTCATCATCAAAAAGAGGATCTCAAGATCTATCTTCAAGTACAATGCCATTTGTGACAGGATAGTATCTATGTGCCTATCAGAAGACCAGTTAATAACATGATTATTCAAATTTGCCCACCAACCACTAAAGCCATTAATGATTAAATTAAAGAATTCTACCAAATTCTTCAGTTTGAAACTGATCAAACATGCAACCAAAATTTTGATTGGAATGCAAAAGTTGGAAACAAAGAGGAAGGCTCACTAGTTGGGAAACATGGCCTTGGTGATAGAAACAATTTTTCAACAACATAAAAGGTGACTATATGTGTGGATCCCACCAGATGGTGAGATCACAAGAATCAAATTGACTACATCTGTGGAAAGACATGATGTCTCAACTCAATAGTAGCTCAATAGTATCAACCAAAACATGCCAGAGACCAACTATGAAACAGACCATCAATTGCTCCTTTGCAAGTTCAGGGTGATTACCTTGAGTATATCCTACCTGAATTTACAGACCATCTCAAGAACAAATTGGATGTATTAAACACTAAAGACCTAAGATCAGTAGAGTCATGGGATGACATCAAGAATATTATAAAGGAAGAAAGCAAAAGTCATTAAAAGATAAGAAAGGAAGAAAAGACCAAAATGGATGTCAGAAATTTGCTCTTGAATATAGAGTAGCTCATGTGAAGGAAAAAAATAATGAAATAAAAGAGCTGAACAGCAAATTTCAAAGTACATTTCAAGAAGACTAACTGGATACTAATTGAAATGTTTCAACAAACTGATGCAGCCCCAGAGGTGCTTTCTCAACTACGAGTAAAGAAAAATTCAGGCACTGACTTGCAATATTCAAGGATTATATGATTGAATGAAGCAGTAAGTATTAAAATAAGATGGAAAGAATATGCAGAGTCACTATACCAAAAAGAATGGGCAAAGGATCAATCATTTCAAGAGGTAGCATATGATCAATAACCCATGGTATTAAAGAAGGAAGTCTAAGCTGTACATTGGCAAAAAAAACAAAGCTCTAGAAATAGATGGGATACTAATTGAAATGTTTCAATAAATTGATGCAGCTCCAGAGGCACTTACTCATCTATGACAAAAAATTTAGAAGATAGCTACCTAACCAACAGATTGGAAGATATCTATATTTGTGCCCCATTCTAAATAAAGGTGGCCCAATGGAATTCAAAAATTATTGAACAACATCATTACTATTATATGCAAGTAAAATCTTGAAGATATTTCAAAAATGGTCACAGCAGTACATCCAAAGGGAACTGCCAGAAATGTAAGCCAATTCAGAAGAAGATGTGGAACTAGGGATATCATTGTTGGCTAAAAGTAAGAGAATATAAGCAAGATGTTTACTTGTGCTTTATTGACTATGCAAAGGCATTCAATTGTGTGGATCATGGCTAACTATAGATAGCATTTAGAAAAATGGGTATTCCAGAACCCACAAATCTGCTCATGAGGAACTTGTACATAGATCAAAAGGCAATCGTTCAAACAGAACAAGGGGATAGTGAATGGTTTAAAATTAGGAAAGGTGTGTACCAGGATTGCATCCTTTCACCATACTTATTCAACCTGTATGTTGAGCAAACAATCTGAGAAGCTGGATTATATGAAAAAGAACACCGATAAGGGGAAGTTAGGGAAAAACAGCACTGGAGAGGGGCTGTGTGCTGAGGGCCAGTAGGAAGGCTTGCAGGGTATACCCTTTGGTTAGTTGATGACGCATAGAAAGGATTGTAACCATGGCAATGAAACAATATACAATAGGATGAACGTAAAGCTGATGTTCTACCATGTAAACTATCACATGATTCACAATAAAACATTAAAAGAAAAAAATCTTCATGCCGTTTCTTACTTTAACTATTTTTCCCTGAAGTGTGTGTTAACATGTAGGCCACTGCTTGTCTTTCCAAAGGTGATCAGTAGATACACATTAAATAAAACTCACCTGCATCAGTAGGAATTGTTAATGTATTCAAAATCTTAGTCAGAAATTCTTGAACAGACATCTTGCCATTTTCTGTAATACAAAACAAAATTTAGTTAAATCAAAGAACTACTGCGCTTCTACAGCTGAAGCTCTCAGTAAACTTACAATAAAAGTTAAAAACTTGGGATTCAGCCTGAATTACTCCTTCTTGCTTATTTTCTGAATGTATATGATTTCTGATCATTATAATTACAAATACTTCTTGAATCTATCACTTCATTAACTAATACCTACAATATTACAACAACATCTTTAAAAATCTATGTTACTAGTCTTATCCTCTCTATTCTCTTTTCTACAATATTACAAATGCTGATTTTTCTCTTCAGTGTTATTCTAGTTTTCAGCCTACAAACCTTGCAGATATTTTGCTTTATACCTCACACACCCACATGCTTATGTGTGTCAGTATGTGTGGTTTGAAAAGGTACTTTTTAATCAAATATTTCATTTCCAATTGTTCATTTTTGGTATGTAAAAGAACTACTGACTTATATTGACCTTGTATCCTGCAGCATTAATTGACATGTTTATTAGTTCTAATAGTTCTTTTGTTGACTCTTTGGGTTTTTCTATATAGACAATCCAGTCACCTGTAAATAGAATAAAACCCCTCAGTATCTCCCACCTGCCCACAGCATAAAAGACAAACAATCGTATCTCAGCTTCTTGCTGTTGTTAAGTGCCATCAAGTCATTTCCAACTCATAGCTACCCTATATAGGGTATCCAAGGAGCAACTTGTGGGTTTGAACTGCTGACCTTGTGGTTTGCAATCTAATGCTGATCCTACAACACCGTGTTTAATCATCTTGTCCTTATTCACCTTTCCAGTTACTTCCCCAAATGCATCCCGCACTCCAGCAATATGTAACAACTCACATTTTTCTAAACGCCTTTGCATGTGCTGTTTCCACTGCCTAGAATCACTTGTCTCCTGTCCTGCCAGGGAAAATTCTTAACTCATCCATCAAGATCAAGTTTGGTTATATCATCTCTGTGACGACCCCTTGACTACTATCCACTTACAAGCTATTCTGTACAGTCATAGTCATAGTACTACACTGTAGTGATTCCATCGTTACGGAAGTAGACTGCCACATAGTTCTCCCACAGAGCAGCTGTTGGTTTCAAAGTGCCAACCTTTTTCATTAGTAGCTGAGCACTTTGACCAGGTGCAGGGATCCTTATTAAATTAGTAGCCCTTTGAAAACAGGACCTATTCATCTTTGTGTGATGGAATATTATGCCTAAAATAAATAACATTTTTATCCTTTGAGTCTAAAACCTGGTAATTTTATATTTAGAGACATTTTTAAAATGCATTTGAGATTTCTGCATTCCAAAAGGTAGAAATCTGAATTCAAATTTGGAGATAGGCAACTCTTTCATTATACACATAACACACACACATGATTCAAATGTGGCTTTAGATTATATAAATGTTAAGTGATAACTCTCTTCTGAAATGGAGATTCTAATGGAATAGGTTTTTATACTGAGCTTTCTAACAATGGGAGAAGACATTTAATTAATAAGTAGAGTTGCATCTCTGCAGACTATTTCCATGAAGCAGTTTCGAACCAAAAATATCATTGCTTCCCAAGAGGTTATTTGAAGCTGTATGAATGACATTTCTGATCAAAATCAGAATGATTAAAATGCACCAATTCCATTTATTGGGAATGGATGAGAGATAGCAAATACTATGTGAGAAAGTTTGACACCATGAAGAGCTATCCTCTCTGAAATGCCGAAGGTGTCTTCTATGAAAAACACTACTAGAAAAATGTTTACTTACTATTTAATAAGATACATGGTTGGAATGACTAAGATCACTAGAGGAATATAGGGGCTTATCTATCTTAAAATAAACCCCATGAAAAGGAATTATTCATGGCTAGATTGCTCTGGTAGCATAATGGTTACAAATCGGGTTGCGAACTGCAAGGTCAGCAGTTCGAAACTACCAATTGCTCCGTGGGAGAAAGATGAGGCTTTCTGCTCCCGTAAAGATTTACAGCCTTGGAAACCCTGTACAGGGTCACTATGGGTCAGAATTGACTCAACGGCATACAGCAGAACCAACACCAGATTGTTGGTAGTACCACATATGATATTATTCAAGAACGAATGGTCTAGACTTTGGGAAATATATTGATATAACATGATAATAATTAACAAAAATAACAACAAATAATGTGAGTTGGTGTTATTGCCCTACTGGAAGTCATATAAAGAGAAGTCATTCAAAGATGTACAAAGAGGCAGCTCATGGGGATTCCTCTGAAGGGAATGAAAATGTTCACTTATAACTATATTGGGAAGATGAAGATGGAAAAGAAATGAGTTAGTTCTCAAGAAGCTTTCCTTAAACTGGACTGGTGGTGACTGGTGGTTGTGTGCTACTGAGTCAGTTCTGACTTATAGCAATCTTGTGTAGGATTTCTGAGGCTCTTTGGGGTGCAGAAAGCCTTATCTTTCTCCCGTGAAATGGCTGGTAGTTTTGAACTGCTGACCTTAAGGTTATCAGCCCGACTCATAACCACTATGCTACTAGAACTCCTTAAACTGGACTGAGAGGGTGGTCAGTTTTAGCCCTCTACTCTGCCCTACAGTGAATAAGGAAGACCGTAGAAGAATTGATGATTTTGAGTTATGGTATTGAGGAGAATATTGAAAGTGCCATAGGCTGCCAAAAGAACCAACATCTATTTTAGAAGAAGTGCAGCCAGAGTGCTCCTTGCAGGCCAAGATGGCCAAACTTTGTCTCTCATACTTTGGACATATTGTCAGGAGGGAAGAGTCTCTGGAGAAGGATATCTTGTTTGGTAAGGTGGAGGGTCAGAGAAAAAGAGGAAGACCCCCAACAAGATGGATTGGCCAAGTGGCAGCATTGATGGACTCAAGCATGGCAACAGTAGTGAGGTTGGCCCAGAGTCGGGCAGTGTTTCACTCTGCTGTGTATAAGGTCACTATGACTCGATGGCACCTAACAACAACAACTCTGCCCTATGGGGAGTATGGTGGCTTTATACAATAAGTACTGGACTGAAAACCACAAGGACTGCAGTTTGAGCCCACCAGCTGCTCCACAGGAGAAAAATGAGGCTTTCTGGTTCTGTGAAGATTTAAAGCCTTCAAACCACTATACAGGGTCTCTGTGAATCAGAACTGACTCGATGGCACTTAACAACAACAACTGTATCCTATAGGGTCACTATGAGTCAACATTGACTTGATGGCAGTGAGTTTGGGTTGGGGTTTGGTTGGGCCTTAGGACTGCAGAGTACACGTAAGAGACATGCACTTATGTATACTCCGGCCACAGGGAAAGTAAGCTAACTCCAACGAGTTAGGCTGGCCTGCTTTTCCCCTCAGTTTGGCCCCATAAGGATAGCCTTTGTAAGAGAGATGCACTGAAACCACCTACCATGTTCAGGTTCATGTTTTAACATTTCATTAAGTATAGCATTAGCTTCATGAAGTTCATTGTTCATCAATGATGTCTTTAGGTCAGATATATCAATTAAATCATTTTGAAGAGTTTGGGAAGTAGCTAAGAGTAGTTGTGTAGCTATAAAAAGAGCAAAAACAAATATATTAATAGCACGAGTAAAGTATATTATTAATCACTATGAGTCAAAATCAACTGGATGACAGTGGGGTTTTTTTTGCCCCATAATAGTGGCAGTAGTGATGGATTCAAATGTAGCAATGATTGCTTTTTAAAATATTATTTTATGCTTTTTATTTTCCAGAACTTTTTTTTAACTACAAACAATTACTTACCTATGGACTTTTTGAAACCTGGAATGTCTTTTATTCCCATTAAGAATTCTTTTAAATCCACTTCCATATTTTCTAGAAGATCAAAATCAAATACGCTAATATTAAAACTTGGTCTTGAATTGACACATGAAATAAAAGCTCTGATTTTCAGCAATTAGCTAAACTCCATTCTAGTTCATGTTTCTGTTTCAAACAATTGAAACTATTCCAATAGAACTTTTCATACTTGTAGGAAGCACCCATTGAACAGTTAATAGTAACAGCTAACATTATATTCTTGCTACTAGACATCTTCTTATGGTGCTTTATTGTTGTTATTTTGTGTTGTCGAGGTAATTCCACCTTATATGACCAGAGGGTTTCTTAGGCCATAAAATTTTATGGAGCAGATTTCCAGGTCTTTTCTCATGTTTCAAAACATTTTACAATGGAGTTGAGAAAAATAAGAAAGAAGTCAGGAAAGCACTACAGGAACAATCAAATAAGACAGATACAATATTGGAAACAATTCAAAACCTACAGAAAGAGGTCCAAACAATCAATAATAGACTATCAGAAATAGACAATACTCTGAAAGGGCAAAGGAGTAGAATAGAAGAGATGGAAGGCAGAACCAGTGAGCTGGAAGACAAATCTCTCAATACCAGTAAGATAAAAGAGCAAACAGAAAAAAGAATTAAAAAATCTGAAGAAGGTCTAAGATTCATGTTGGACAACATGAAGAGGAATAACTTAAGAATTGTCAGCATTCCAGAGCAAGAAGAATCACACAAATCCACAGAGGAAATCCTTGAAGAACTGCTGGAAGAAAATTTCTCTAATATCCTGAAAAGTGAAAAGATAAACACTTAAGAAGCTCAATGAACCCCAGGACGGATAGACTCCAAAAGAAATTCACTGAGACATATCACAATCAAGCTGTCCAAAATCAAAGATAAGAAGACACTCCTGAAAGCAGCTAGGGAAAACAGAAGAGTTACATAAAGTCAAGCAAGTCAGATTAAGCTCGGATCTCTCAGCAGAAAGCATGCAGGGAACAAGGCAATGGGGAGACATATATAAAACCCTGAAAGAAAAACAAACTACCAACCAAGAATCCTTTATCCAGCAAAGCTGTCACTCAAATAAGATGGTGTAGTCAAAATATTCCAGGATAAACAGAAGCTAAGGGATTTTACCAAAGCCAACCCTGCGCTAAAAAATATCCTAAAGGGAGTTCTGTGGACTGAGAACCAATAAGAACAGACAACAACCAGAGATTGACACACATTGCAGCACCTCCTAGAATTAAACTGACAGAAGGAAGAGTCAAGAACAGAATAAAACTATTAAGAACAAACTCAGAGAATCTGGGAGGTCAGTCTATGATCAAAACAATTACAATGTAAAAGAAGGTAAACACGTAACAACAGGGAACCAGATGGTGAGAAGGTCAGGTATATTACAGGATAAAATAGACTGCACTAAATGGAGAGAAAAGTTAATGGACTATAAGGCAAACTCAAAGAAAATTAATACTTCACAACAATCCAAGAAAGACATGGAAACATTAAAAATATGAGGAAAGTCACAAGAAAGCACAAAAATCATGAACTCAACAAAGGAAGACACAGAACAGAGAAAGCAGCAACACCACATTAAAAAAAAAAAAAAAGTCATTCATAAATTTGATCATGGATTTCAGAGACTTCCTGACAGTAAGAGCTAAGGATTCCTATTCACTATGCTTTCCTTCTAATAAAAGTCATTTAAAAGAAGTTTAGACATTGCATTAGTAGTATTGTTCGGGGTTGTTGAGTCAATCTTGATTCATAGTGACCTCACATGACAAAGT